GAGGTAAGCACTTAAAGCCTCCCGAACCACTGCAGAGAAAATCCCAGAGGAAGAAATCCTCCAAATGGATGAATCCAAGAAACCCAAAGGCCCCCAGAAACGAACAGCCGCACCCAACACAAACAGAAAGAGATGGAGGGTAAGAAAACTCCCTTCCCTGCATAAGCCCCTGAGCAGAGGGCACAAGGGCCCAAGCAGGGTCAAAGGAACCCAAGAGCTCTAAGCGAACTCCTACTGAACCCTAGAAACCACTGACAAAGGCCCCGGGCCAGAGCCTTAGGGGCTCTGATGAAGACAGAAGAACCCAGACAGTTTCCAGATTCCAGTTTCTACCTCCTTTGTGAGGTGGCACAATCTTCGCTGTTTTAAGTATGTGAGGGATGACACCAGTATCTAGGCTCCATCTCCAAAAGATGTTTAGGACCTGTGATAGGGGTGTTTTGTACGTCTTGATGAATATCAAATCAAATCAAATCAAATCATATTTATTCAGGTAAAGTACATACATACAAGGTGAGATACAAAACATTGATGGATTTATAGATAGAGCCAATACATGCAATGCCTAAAACCACTATTACGTAAAGCGTTTCGGGCAGAGAAAAGGAATATAGAATAAGAATATAGAATTCCACGAGTCTGGGCCTTGTGCAGAGTGCATGGGCATGCTGTCTATGGCTACCTCAAAGTCCAGTGGGGTTAGGGTGACATCTGATATGTGGTTCGATGTTGGTGTCACATTCATAAAGAATTCATTTGGAACATCGATCTTCAGTGTGGTCAGTTGTTCGCTGAAAACAGAATTGTACTGAAGCCTCAGTATTTCACTCATTTCTTTGTTGTCATCTGTGAAAGTTCCATCACCCTTGTGGAAGGGCCCAATGCTGGATGCATTTTTAGTTCTTGATTTTGCATACGAGAAAAACTATTTTAGGTTCCTCTCTATTTCACTTATGGCCTTTTGCTTCCTTTGCCTCTTTTGGATTTTATATGATTTTATATGACTGCTTCGGTCTCTGCCTCTTTGAAGCTGGACTCTGCATACAGTATAACTCATCTGCTGGGTTCTTGGGGTTTGGTTCTTCATGCCATTCATGACCATGCAGTGTCCAAAGTCCTTGCAAATGGTTTGTCCCCAGTTCCTTACCCCTTGGAGTCCTAAGGTTCTGACTTCAATCCCCGGCAGAGGCGGAAACAAATGGGCAGAGTTTCTTTCACCCTGATGCGCCTGTTCACCTAGCAGTAAATAGGTACCTGGGAGTTACCCAGCTGCTATGGGCTGCTTCCTGGGGATGTGTAACAAAAAGGAGGCCTGGTCGAGGACCAGGCCTTGGGGACGCTAAGCCCTGAAATCATCTTAAGATAACCTCAAGATAATCTCCACGGAGTGGACCATTGATTCCGCCTCATTCCTGTGGCTTTTGCAAGATGTTCGGCTGCCTGGACTTTGCTCTCTTTGCGTTGGCGTAGTCTTAATATCTTAATACTTGGCACCATTCCCCAATTGCTAGGCCTTTCGGCTGGATTGGTTGAGATAGGGGCTCCTATACCTCTTACTTCTCAGTCTGGCTGTTGCTCCTGGTCCTGGCATGATTGGAGATGTGCAGGGAGAAGGTGATCATTCTAGCTCCTTGGTGGGCAGCCCAGCCTTGGTTTCAGGCACTGCTCGCTTGATGTCCAAATCTGGGTGTCTTTTCTATGGTGCTGCCTGTATCAGTCAGTCCAGTGATGTACTTCACTGGTTCGAACTTCTCCTCTCCTTTGTGCATTTGGACTTTTTAATGTGTGTTTATTGCCATCTCTCTAGTGATCAGGTGGCTGTGTTGATGTTGTCCGGCCATTGGGCGTCTTTTGAAGTGGCAGTACGAGTTGTCATGGCATTCATTTCATCACTTTATTTCTCTTTGTTGCTGTCTTCCAGGATCTGATCAAGTGATTCTCTCCTATTTTTCTTGGCTTTTCCTTGACCGTCATCTCATGCTGAATACTGTCACATCTACCATAGAACTGAGGGTGGAGATGCTGGCTGACTGTGAGCTCCCTCCTCCCCCTATCCCCAAGTAAGTGGGGCAGTTGGGTTGTATGAGCTTGTATTAGTTATCACAGAACTGATGGTGGCGTCTGCGGGCTGACTCCCTTTCCCATTGCCCCAAATGAGTGGGAGGTGGGGCATGTGAGCAAGTGATAGTTTTGTTAAGTTTCAATAGTTTACATTGGTGGTGGAGTTCTTTTGGCAGTTCTCAAGGCTGCAGTCTTGTCTGACACCAGCAGTGGTTCTTTTGTTTAGCCAACTTTCTGGCAGCCTTCCTTGGTGATGGCAGACAGGAATACATTTCTTAGCATTTTATCATATGTGCCACTGCTTGCTGTGCCTCTATTGAGGAGGCCAGGTTCTGGCTCGGGGATTCCCAGTAAGCCAAGAGAACTGCAACTGATGGGAGATAATACACTTTCACCTCGACCAGGAGGCCTGGTCGAGGACGGGGCCAAGGGGACGCTAAACCCCGGAATCATCGCAAGGTAACCATCATAGATAGTAGCTTCAGGAAGCCATCAGGGCTTGCCCTGAAATTGGCATTTCATTACATTCGATGCTGGTTTTTCAAGTCTCAAAGAATCAAATAACCAAAGAACCGAGAGGTCCTACCAAACGACCACAGGGAAAAGGCACCTGGCCAGGAAATGTCTGGTTATAAAAGGGCTTTGTCCACATGTTTATATTCATATTTACGATTGAAGGGAGAATAGTTAAAACCTTTTAACAAAATTGTAAAATAGGTATTTCTGTGAGGAGCCCCTTCGGCTCCCTGGAGCTATCGGGCTAGTATGCAATTCATTAGACCAGGGCATTAGTCATAGAAGTACAAGCCTACCAGGGACTACGAGCCAGAACCTGGCCCCCTCAGAGAGGCACAGGGAGCAATGGCTGTGGACCCCCCCCCCCTGTGTGTTTTTTTTTATCTGCCATTGACCAGGGTTAGGCACCCAGATAGGTATGAATTACAAAACAGACCCCACATGGTAAGTAAATTGCAAGTGAAAACTGAACAGAGAAGCTGAACTTCCTCCAATCCCAAGGAAACAAGCAAACAAGCAAACGTCACACCCCAACCCCGGGAAAGGGTGGGGGGGGGGGCTGCTCAGAAAATGTTACAATTTTCTGCACAATTTGGCAATTTTTGCAATTTGGCAATTTGCAGGGGAGGGAGGAGCCCTGGACCCCCTGCGCAGGCAACCCAGTCATACTAGTTCATCGGCAAATGCAATCCAAGGGGGTCGTCATCTCTGGCCTCGATTTCCTATGCAGTCCTCTGCTGTTCGTGGTGTGGTGGCCAGGTGTACCTGAAGTGTTTCGGGTGCTGCTTGCTGTGTGTTTAAACCCAGGGAGTTTTCCCTGGCTCCTCCTCTTCCAGCAGATTGGACCTGTCTGGTACACGGCTGGTTTGATCTTCTCCTCTACTCTACGTGTCTGGTCTTTTTGGTGCTGGTTTATCACCATTTGTATGGTGATCAGGTGGCTTTGTCGATGGTGTCCCACCTGAGAGCTTCATCTCGGCGACTGTATTAAAGTTTCCTGGCGTTCTTTCCGCCATTTTCTCTCTTCGTAGGTTGTTTTCTCTTTCTGATCGAGTTGTTTTGTCCTTTCTGTCTTGGCTTTTTCAGGACCGTCATTTAATGCCTAATAAGTACTGTCACCTCGTATCGTGGGCGCTGGTGGATCCGCTGCAGCTTGTGTTTGGGGTGGATGTCACTTCTACCCCGTTCAGTAAGCTTTTTCATGCTTTGTTTCACCTCCGGCCTGCTCATGCGCCGGCTGAGCCATCCTGGTCCTTGGACAGGGTGGCTAATAAAAATTGAATAAAATAAATCCTGAATAAAAATCCCCGCTAATATTCAGGCGCAGGAATTTTGGAGGTCGAACAGGGTCCTGGCCACGAATTATTTGGTTAACATTCCTGGTCCTGGGTGTTTGTGTGTGGCTTTGGGTCGCAGGTTGCATCCAGTTGTCTCGCCTTTGAGTTGAGAAGCTTGGGAGAGCCACCTCCCGGGTAAGTCCCTCTCGTCCTTATCTTTGGTTATGTAGCTCCAGGGAACTGAAGGGGCTCCCCACAGAAAACCAGCATTTGATTGTAATGAAACAGCATTTTCTGGGTGAGCCCCTGAGGGTTCCTAGCACCCTCCTTCCCTCTGGTCAGTGGTTTTCACGTTGTTTTGATACTTAGCCTCCGAACTGGTATGGCTGGGATTGCTGGCGCAGACGAACCGGGGATCCCCTTTTTCCCTACTGGGGGGTGGGGGGGAGGGGGGCTGCATGAACAAGTGACGCAGCGACTGGGGTGTGACGTTTGCTTGTTTCCTTGGGATTGGAGGGTGTACTGCCTTTCTGTTCGGTTTTCGGTTGCAATTTTCTTACCATGTGGGGTCTGTTTTGTTATGCCTACCTTTCTGGGTGCCTAACCCTGGTCGATGGCAGAAAAGAAAAACTCCCAACCACAGCGGGGGGGGGGGGGGGGGGGTTGCAGGGCCATTGCTCCCTGTGCCTCTGAGGGGGTCAGGTTCTGGCTTGTGGTCCCCAGTAGGCTTAAACTTCTATGACTAATGCCCTGGTCTAGTGAATTGCATATTATCCCGATAGCTCCAGGGAGCCTCCGGGGCTCACCCAGAAGATGGCGTTTCATTACATTCAACGCTGTTTTTTTTTTTCATGAAGACTGCTTGCTGAATAGAACATTGTATTCTAGTTCACCAAGAGATTGTCTGTGAACACTTCTTTCTAGCATACCAAGGATTTTGATCCATCATGACCCATTTGAGTGAGGCCCCATTGTAGTGGTAATAGTAAATATGCAGAGTAGCATTTACAGAATATGCAGAGCAGCATCTGCAGAATGTGCAGAGCAGCATCTATAGAATGTGCAGAGTATCATCTTCAGAATGTGCAGAGCAACATCTACAGAATGCAGCATTTGTATTCTCTCATTTAATCATTCTTTCAACAGGACCCACCAAGATCATCACAAAAAAGTCCAGGCAACACCTCCTCTAATGGTAAGAGTGGGCCAGAGTCACCAAAGCCCGGACGGAAGAGATTTGGCTCCACGTCGGAAGATGGTACCCCAAGAGTCAATGGCCTCGGCGAGTCTTCTGGAGGAGGAGGTGCATCTGCAGGAGATTTAGAGAGACTTAAAGAAGAAATTATGGATGAAATGAGAAAGGAACTCGATAAAGTTAAACAGGAGATCATTGATGGTGAGTACACTACTGTATCCCAGTCATGTTGATTTTACAGTATTAGTAAAGGTGGAAGTCATTTTTATTTGCAGTTCAGTTGTGAACAGTTGTAAAAATATTATTTATTGTTTACAGAAGAGAGCTTAAGCTCAAGTTTCTCATTATCACCTTCATCTGTGCTTGTTCTGACCTTACTTCATGGTGTGTTAAGACATGAAGTCAGCACTGACATGTAATTACCTAAATATACTGTAGTTACCTAAGTGTAGTTACAGGATGAGAGCTACGCTCGTGGTGTCCCGTCTTCCCAGCACTCTTTGTCATATAACGCTTTGAATCTACTGATGGTTTTGACCTCCACCACCTTCTCACTTAACTTGTTCCCACTGTCTACCACGCTATTTGCACAAGAAAACTTTCTAATTCTTTTTTGGCACCTTTGTTTCCTTAGTTGAATCTGTGTCCTTTTGTTTGTGAAGTTGCTGATTTCAGGAATTTGTCAATTTGGTTGATTTATTTTATTGTTTTGTAAGTGGTGATCATATCACCTCTCTCTATCTCTCTCTCTTCTTTGGCATATTTAAAGCTTCTAGCCTCATTTCGTAACTTGTTTTTCAGCTCCATAAGCCATTTTGTAGAATGTCTTTGCACCTTTTACCAGTTTATTGATGTGCTTGTTGAGATATGGGCACCATACAACTTCTGCATATTCCAATTTTGGTCTGACAAAAGTCATGAACAGTTTCTTCAGTATTTAACCATCTATGTAATGAAAAGCGATTCTGAAGTTGGAGAGCGATGCATATGCACCTCACACAATGTTCTTTGTGTGTTCCTCTGGTGACAGTCTACTATCCAAGTGCATGCCTAGTCCTCCTTTTCGCTCATAGGTACAGGCGTTCCAGCTTAAGCATCGAGTTTCTGCCAATGATTGAAATAGGTCAGTTCAAGATTGCGTTTTGGCCTTGTGCTTGAACTAGGGTTTCTGATGCGCAGGTTCCTTGGGCAAGCAAGGAACTGGGAGCCGGTCGGCCGAGCGGACAGCACACTGGACTTGTGATCCTGTGGTCCCGGGTTTGATCCCGGGCGCCGGCGAGAAACAATGGGCAGAGTTTCTTTCACCCTATGCCCCTGTTACCTAACAGTAAAATAGGTACCTGGCTGTTAGTCAGCTGTCACGGGCTGCTTCCTGGGGATGGAGGCCTGGTCGAGGACCGGGCCACGGGGATGCTAAGCCCCGAAATCATCTCAAGATAACCTCAAGAAGAAGAACCTCTGGTGACAGCTTACTATCCAAAACCAAACCTAGATCTCGGTCTTTATTAGAATTCCATAATTCCTTTCCACATAATTTGTAAGTTGTGTGTAGTCTATTTTCTCCAATTCCGCATTTCCATAATATGGCATTTATTCACATTGAATGCCATTTGCCACTTGGCGCTCCTAGTACTTACTTTATCTAGATAAATTTGAAGGGCATTACAATTGTCTGCGTCTCCTATATTCCCTAGGAGAGATTGCTGAAATAGAGGGGAATACAGAGAACATATACGGCACGCATAATGATAAAGCACCTAAATTATTGGGATCGTCTCAAAGCCCTCCAAATGTACTCACTAGAAAGGAGACGAGAGAGATACCAAATAATATACACCTGGAAAATACTGGAGGGCCAGGTCCCAAATCTACACAGTAAAATAACAACATACTGGAGTGAACGATATGGAAGAAAATGCAGAATAGAACCAGTGAAGAGCAGAGGTGCCATAGGCACAATCAGACAACACTGTATAAACATCAGAGGACCACGGTTGTTCAGCATCCTTCCAGCGAGCATAAGAAATATTGTGGGAACAACTGTGGACATCTTCAAGAGAAAACAAGATTGTTTTCTGAAAGAAGTGCAGGACAAACAGGGCTGTGGTGGGTATGTGGGCCTGCGGGCCACTCCAAGCAAAGCCTAGTGGACCAAGCTCTCACAAGTCAAGCCTGACCTTGGGCCGGGCTTGGGCAGTAAAAGAACTCCCACAACCCCATCAAGCAGGTATCAAGCAGGTATCCCAGTATCTTAGCATCATCCGCAAACATGTTCATGTAATTCTGTATTCCTTCTGGTATATCGTTTATGTAAACAATGAACATTACTGGTGCAAGAACTGAAATGTTCAGGGTTAGCTTCCCTGTGTGCTCTTTTAATACTACCCTTGCATGGTCAAGGTTATTTTCCCTGGGATGTTTGGGACACACTCCCTTCTTTGGGGCTTGGCATGGGTTTTGCCATACCTGCACGCTTGACTGGCGGGAGGTGTCTACTGTGTTGCAGCTGTTTCTGTGGGGTTCTCTTGAGTCCCTCATTGCATGCCTCTTCGCTCCTGCCCTTTCCCGTGACATGGGTCTTGTGCAGCTACACACTCGGGTTCTCTTCTTGTCGGTTGCTTTGGTTGCCGACGACCTTCGTATCAATTCACACTTGGCTTTTGTCATGCATTTCTTAAGCCTCCTGGAGCTTCATTCTGATTGACTTTTGGAGGATTTTGGGATGCCCATTGCTGTTCCTCTTTTGGAGATTTTGGTGTCTGTGGCTTCAGCAATTTCTGCCCTCCTTAATCCCCAGTACTGTGCCTCTTTAATTGTGACAAAGCTGTGGTACACCGAAAATAGAGTACAGTATTCTCCTCAAACATTTGTTCTTCTTATATTGTAAAAATGTATTCTCTGATCATGGGAACTTACAAATTGTTCTATGTTACATATTTTACTTGTGATGGAGCCGAAAAGTTGAGCAATTCATGGATGCTGAGTGATTAGGTGCTAGAACACACTAGGCTCAGCTGGCTCGTGGGGTGCCAATTACTGCGAATACATTTTTCCATTATTATTTCAATGTCTCTCATTGTTTTTCTTCAGCTTTTCTGGGAGAAGCCACGTCGGCTCCCTGAAGCTATCCAAGCTGAATGGATATGTGTATCTTTCTGGCATCAGTCAATGCATGGAGTTCTTGCCTACCGGGGACCACAAGCTAGAACCTGGCCCCCCTTTAGAGAGGCATGAGGAGCTATACTTCACTTTTTGTTGAGGTGGTCTTGTCCTTTTCACTAGTGATTGCTTCAGGACCGTCTTCGTATGCCGCATTCTGTCGCCTTGTATCGTAATTACCAAAGTGTAATTACTTAAGTGTAGTTACAGGATGAGTGCTACGCTCGTGGTGTCCCGTCTTCCCAGCACTCTTTGTCATATAACACTTTGAATTACTGATGGTCTTGGCCTCCACCACCTTCTCATCTAACTTGTTCCAACCGTCTACCACTCTTGTTTACAAAAGTGAATTTTCTTACATTTCTCCGGCAGCTTTGTTTCATGAGTTTAAATCTATGACCTCTTGTTCTTGAAGTTCCAGGTCTCAGGAATTCTTCCCTATCAATTTTATCGATTTCTGTTACTATTTTGTATGTAGTGATCATATCGCCTCTTATTCTTTTATCTTCTAGTTTTTGCATATTTAATGCCTCTAACCTCTCCTCGTAGTTCTTGTCCTTCAGTTCTGGGAGCCACTTAGTGGCATGTCTTTGCACCTTTTCCAGTTTGTTGGTGTGCTTCTTAACCCTTAAGTTGCTAAGGGGTCCTGAGGAGATTTACACGCCTGTGCGCAAGAAAAAAAAATTCTAAAAAATTATTTCGTCTTTTAAAATGTTCCCTGAGCACGGTAAAAATAAAAATAAAAAAATTGCAGGAAACATATTTTCGGTGCAATAGGCCAAGGAAGTCTGGCAAAATGTTGGCGTTGACAGAGCGGTCGTCAGAGCCAATCAGCTTCACCCGAGCTGACAGACGGGAGTTGCCACAAAGATATTATCTAATTATTTCAATGTCTCCGATTGATTTTTGCTGGGTGGAGCCCCTACAGCTCCCCGGAGCTATCCATGGCTGATATGGATATCCTAACTATTTTGCATCAGTCAATGTGGGTGGAGTTCTAGCCTACTGGGGACCACGAGCCAGAACCTGGGCCCCTCACAGAGGCACAGGGAGCAATGACCCATAGAAATGCCCATGTGATTTGGAGCATTCTATATCTTCCATCGACTGGGACAGGCACCCAGAAAGGTAAGCGCCACAAAACAAACCCCTATTCTGGTTAACAACGAAAATTGACAAACGAGTAGACAGAACTCCCCAAAAGAAAAACGAGCAAACAAGCATGACGTCACATGAGCTGTGCTGCATGTCTGCGCAGCTTTCCCCTCCCCGGGAGGGGGAAGGGGAAGCCCCAGACCCCCGAGCCGGCGATCCACGCCTCAGTTCCTCAGCTGATGGGATAGTGCATGGTCGTGTGGCTCCAGCTCCAGTCTTGTCTCAGTGCTGTGACTTGTTTTCACTGCTGCTCTTACGGTGGTCGTGTGAGCTGGGAGTAGTATTCTCAGGTACTCGGGCTGCATGTGCTTAGGGTCACCTTCCCTGAGTGCCCTGTAAGTACCGCCCTTGGGGCTTGGGGTTGCCTTCCACAAGTCACCTTGGGTCTACCTCTGTTGGCTTTTCGCTGCTTGGCGTTTGGTCGCCCCGAGTGTTTGCGGGTTTTCCTCCCTTGTTTGCCTTGGGGTAAGTGGTAGTTATAGCACTGGTGGGGCACAGGGTACTGCGTAGCTAGTTTTCACCTACAACAGCGGCCGGCTCTGTTCCCACTGGGTATGTTGTCCACTTGTGTGGTTTTTCTTTTCTTTTTGTTTTTGCCTGGTGGGGGGGGGGGGTCTGCCCTTCCCCTTATATTAGGGTCGTTTGTGTGGTGGCACCCCTTGCTTCGCCCTCGCGAGTGGACACGTCCCGTGGGTTCAGCTTTTAGCAGATTGCTTGGTAGTTTGGGGTGCCGGTTAGCAGTGCCCTGCCTGGGATAACCCTTAGCAGACCCAGTCTAGGGGCCCTGTGAAACCCCGCAGAGGCTCTTGGGTCCGATGGAGGAGACCCTTGCGTCCCCTCTCGCTGTGTGCGAGTTTGAGGGTTGCTCTGTCCCCTTGTCTCAGGGT